CACAACCCCCATAGACACTGACACCTGCCAAGTGAGAGCCTGCAGTGCTGCCTGAGATGGCCCTGCCTCGGACATCTCGTACCAGATGTTCAGGGTTAACTTCAACTACAGAACACCAAGAAAAACTGGACAAGTGAAGGTATGGAACCTTACATTCAGGCTTTCCATATATCACCCACTTACTTTCTTCTCTTGTGGGGCACATACATTCACGGAAGAGAGACAGAGAGGGATGTGAGCAAGCGCCTCCAAGGAGGGTTGGCCACGCTGTAATGGGAGAAGGCATCTGGGCATGCTCATACGTGTGCCCAGTGTTTGTTTTTTGGAGAGGTTTTTGCTATCGGGCGCGTGTGCTCGCCAGAGAGACAGAGAGAGACAGAGAGACAGAAAGTGAGAAATCACCCCCCGGGGGGATGGCCATGCCACAATCCCTTCTCCTCCACTCTCCTCTCGGGATCTTGGGCACACACACACACGGCATGAGTTTAGGCCACTGGGTCCAGGACTTGAACCACGGTTGACTACATGGGAGTCTAGTGATGTAGCCATTACGTCATTTGCTGGTCCCAACGCCCAGTGTTTTTTTGAAGCCACTGGTTCTAGGACTTGAACACAGTTAACCATGAAGGATCCAGCTGCCTTAACTTCCACAATTACCTGCTGGCCCCAAATAAATGTATTTATTAGTTACAAACCAATAACTAGAATTTCTAGCTTTGTCTGGGAAAATCTACTTAAGATCTAATGACATATTTATTGGCATCAGTAAAGGTAGAGGGGGTATTTTTACCTGAATTTTTGCTACTTATTAGTAGGATGGGTCCAAATTCACAGGTGTTGTCCCTTATATAGTTTGGGCTAAATAAATGTCAAAAAAGGTAAATATTGGGGCCAGCAAGAGGTGTGGAGGTTAAGGCAGCTGTATCCCACGTGGCCAACTGCATGGTTTAAGTCCCAGACCTGACAGCTTGAAAAACACGCAGGGAACATGCATGTTCAAAGTCCTGAGAGGAAAATGGGGTCGAAAGGACTGCAGCACCAAGGACACACACCCTGTAGCAAACTAAAAAATAAATAAAACTACATGGGAGTCCAGCGACACAGCTATTACGCCAACTGCTGGTCCCATAGTTTTAAAAAGCAGATGTGGCTATGTGACAGTGAATGTGGTGGGCGCTGCTTCGATCTGGGCTTCGGGGTCAATGTTGTCATTTTGCTAGCTGCTGGGAGAGCTGGAGGACTCCCTCCTCCAGAGTCTCTCCCAGACCTGTCCTCAGCCAAAAGAGCAACCTCCACCCAGTAACTGGAAGTGCAGGAGTGCAGATGAGGCCTATTTCCAATCTGCCCACCCCAGCTTCTGCAAATGCTATCAGGAGCAGTCCTGGGACCCAAGCCCTAAGACAGCATGGTGGGGCTATCACAGTGTAGAAGAACAAGCGGGAGCCTTGGGAGCTGCCACTCCCTCCCCCGGCCGAAGAAAACACAAAGCCACATCCCAGAGGAGTGGCGAGGTCGGTGCCAGCGGTAGGCTAAAGGATATGGGCGTGGTGGGTCTCATGCATCAGGCTGGCTAGGCCATGGCGCCCAGTAGTCTGGTTATACACTAGTCTAGAGAGTGCTGTGAAGTTCTTTTGAGACAAAATCAATATTAAGATCAGAAAAATCTGGGGGATGCTAATGATCCTCCGTAGTACAGGTGGGTCTCATCCAACTAGGTGAAGGCCTTGAGAGTAAAGACTAAGGTCCCCAGCACAAAGAACCCTCTGGACCAGTGGTCCCCCACCTACTAGGCCAGCCTTGTGTAGGTCAGTCCCTGCATGGATGGGGGTGGGGGCTGTTCCTGGGATGACCAAGCACGCCCCCTTCACCATGCACCCCGTTTCCACCACTGCACATTGCAATATACAACAAATCATCACACGACGAGGGCTCGAGTTCCCACGAGACTCCAAGACCATGGATTCTACAAGAGGCAGCGTCCAGGCAGCGATGTGAGCCACGGGAGTGGCCACAGACATGGATGAAGCCTCCCTCACTCGCCTCCCCCCAACACCCACTGCGTGGCCTGGCAGACTCACAGTGGTCCGTGTGTGGCCTAGGGGTTAGCTTCCCAACTATAGGAGACATGGGTCTAGAAACCAAGTGGAGGGTGAGGCAGCCCCGTGTACCATCACCCCAGTGATCCACTGGCTCATTCTGAGCGGCTCACCTCAACGCCAGGGTCTATGTGTCTAGAGGAGGAACGTTTCTACCAGAGGACACAGAACATGTCCTATTAAAATATGATTGCAACCAGTCACCTTAGAAACCTAAGCCGAGTGTCCAGCAGAAAGGGAGCAGGTGGCCATGCTGGCAGGAGCACCAGGCCCTCATCAGGATGTGGGCTGCTGATCCCCGTCTCTCAGTAGCCCTTGCCCGGTTTTGATGGTACAAGGACAAGGGACCAAGGTCTCTGACTCCTCGGGGAAGAGAAGATGCTCACTAGGTGAGCTGATGTGCTAGGTGAGGGTGAAGGAACCTGGAATGGGCTGCAGAGGAAAAGAAGCTGAGTGTTGGTTGTCCCCTGAAGACCACACAGAGCTGGGAGCTTTATCTCAAGACCCTAACCTTAAGCTTGCCTGTTTTTCCAGATAAAGAAACCAGATCGTGCAGCCTTATGTAGGCCACAGGGAGGAGTTTGGATAAGGTTATCGTCACAGTTAAAGGAAACTCCTGGTCCTTTTCCCCAGCTTAGTTTCTAGAAAGTTGGCAGCTAGGCATATTTCCTTGTCCTCTCGTCAGAAGAGAAA